GTAGGTACATAACACATTATGTTATGTTTTATAAACCTAACATTTTTACATAAAGTAAATTGTGTTTTTACACTATGTCTTGATCAGCACAGTCTGATCAAGTCTGAGTCTTATTCATATTGATTCTTGTAACTATAAAAATAAACTAGGTGTACACTTCTTTATAAAAATATTACAAGGGTGTCCCTCCCTGGTGGCGCAGCGGGTTAAAGCACTGCACTAAGAAGCTGAAATTTCTTAGTTCGATTCCTGCCTGCCCCGGAGGAGACCACATGGTGTGGCAGATCTCTCCTGGCCCGCCCGCCGTCGATCTGCCTGTTCTGCTCCCCACTCTGTCTGGTGAAGTCTTTCACCACCCCTGAGTCTCTGGCCCTCAGTTCTGTATGCACAAATAAATAAATCTTTAAAAAAATATTACAAGGGAATGGATCTACGGGAAGGGGAAACAGAACTATAAGGATTAAACAATATGGAATCAAATACACAAATGGGGCAAAGAGGATAGTTTAATACTTAAAGACATGTCTGAGGGAAAGCCTGAGATAAAGTATTCAACAGTTAAAGAAAAACAGAGACTTTCAAACATCAAACACATTATCAAAAATCATCAAACATCTGAGGAAAACCAGCACACAAAAGACAGCTAATTCTCCTGAAAACATATCAGCTAAACCCTTGGAGACTCCCAATCAGGTGTAACTGTATAGGGGGTCCTAGTCGAGTCATATGTGCTGCTAACCCACTTCTACAACTCATCCCAAACAGTGTCAGTCTACACCAATCTGCCAGAGCCACTCTTAACCATGTCAGTGTGGCTCATTTCTGTCTGCTTCTGACTTGGCTCTCTAGTGGTGTCTGTCTTTCGTGACCTTTGACCTTGAAGCATTTTCTTCTTTGGCTTTAGGACTCCATCCTTCCCCGGTTTCCTGCCTGCCTGATGCTCCATCCAGCCCATCTGGCTACTCCCACACTTAACCTTCGACTCTGATCCTGCTTCTCCAGTCCAAACCCAGTCTCCCAGCTGGTACCTGGTATCTCCCCTGGCAGCCTTCTAGGTGTGGCAAATAATTTGTCCCAAACCAACACCTGGTATTTCTCCCTAAACCTGCTCCTCCCACCTCCTTCCACACCTCAATCATTGGTTACACCACTGTCTTTCCTGAGGACTGCAAGTTAAATAAGGATACCTTAGCTGAAATGGGGGTTGGAAAACCTATAGAGGGAGCTCTCAGGCATTATCCTTTACTTCATTCATGACAAGCCCAACAGGAAGTCGCTTTCCCTTGCACTTCCAGACAGGAAGTAGTCTACTTCACTAGCCCAAGAAAGATGGCTTCTGTCCACTATCAACTCAGCCAGTGAGTCCTTCATCTACTGAGTCCTTGATCTCCTTCCAGAACTTCCTTCAGAACAGCTTCTTCCCCACTTTTATCTATATCAATAAGTTTTCTTCCTCCAGATTTGATCTCCTCAAAGCTTGCCTTGATCCTGGAAAAAACACACTTAACCTTTTAACTGTTGGTTTTGAGGTGAATATGACAAAACCTTGATTCACCTCTCTTCTTTTCTCCATTTGATCCACCAGCAAATCTTAATCTTCCTTTCAAAGTACCTGCTTCAGAAGCCCACCATTCCCCGACAGGCCCTCTGCCTGCACCCCTGCACATCACCTGGATTATTTTTTTTTTAAAGATTTATTTATTTGTGCATACAGAACTGCGGTGCAGGCCAGAGGCTCAGGGGCGGTGAGAGCCTTCACCAGAGACAGAGTGGGGAGCAGAACAGGCAGATCGACGAAGTACACTGCTGAGGGGAGCAGCGGGTGGGCCAGGAGAGGTCTGCCATGCCATGTGGTCACCTCCGGGGCAGGCGGGAATCGAACTCATGCGAAGTGGCTCCAGATTCTCAGTGCTGTGCTTTAACCCGCTGCGCCACCAGGGAGGGCCCACCTGGATTATTTTAATGGCAATTTAACCAGTCTCCCTCTCTGAACTAGTTCTGGCCTACTGCCCTCAGGGATAGCCTTGCCCTTCCCAAGCCTCCAGCTCTGTGCTCTGAGTCACATCTGTCTCCCACTTCTTTCCCATTGTGCTGATCTCTAGGTTGCCTGCCCTTTCTATAGTCCTTTGGTTTCTTCTATTACCTCTTAAACACCCCTGCTTTAAATACAGTTGAATACAAAACAGAACCTTGCAATTGCTGCAGTGTTCAGATTTCATAAAAAAAAAAGTTACTTAAAAGAAGAAATAAAGTTATAGTTCAACTTATACTCTATTCTTTTGAGTTGAAAACCAGCTGTTCTCTCACATGAGGATTAGCTCTGTGATGGTAAACATTTCAGAAATTAAGTTGCTTTCCTTTAGGCAATAGAAATTGCAAGAAACAGACCCAAATACCAGCACTAAACTTGATCAACTCAGGGAAAATTGGGAATTGGCAAATTTAAGAAAAGGTGTCCTTGGTTTTTATGTGCTTGCTTGACTTACAGCTTCTAAAATATAAGACTTCTCCATTTAATGGTTCCTCTCTTTCCCAGGCCCCCAGAAAGCAGAGGCTCACACAAGAGTTGCATCCAGAAGGGTAATTTTGAATTATGGGATGGGCTCTCAGTAAAGGTGTAGAGACAGGAAGAATGGAAAAAAATCAGTTCAAGGGGTTGGGACTTGCGTGTATGCGGTGTGTGTGTGTGTGTAGGAAGATAGCAGATAGCCTATAGGGTGCCACTTCCTAAGTATGTCCTGGTTGCCTATGGGCGAGTGCCAAGCTGGTTAGATGAGTCTATACATTGGCCCTAAGTCAGAAAGGAAGACATGCATGGTGCAACTGAGACAGGTGCTTTTGGGCTACACCTGAACAGGATTGCTTCCTTAAGCAGGAGCTACTGTAACAGGTACAGGTTTCATGGACTCCGCCCCTACTCCAGATGCTGGAACTCCAAATCCCATCAGTACCAAGAAGCACGCCGGGATGTGAAGGCAGAGCTGAGCAGCCAGGTTGCAATAAAACCGGACATGTGGGCTCTGGGGGGACCTGGTGGTCCGCATCTGATCGTTTTGGCGCTCAATCGGTTTTCAGCAAGCCGGTGGAGTCCAAGTCAGCAGAACTGGTAGGACATCTAGTTAACCTGTGTTTCTCTCCCTCTTTCCCTGGGTTATTCCTTTACCTTTCTCCTTATAAATAAATCCATTATTTAACCTCTTGAGTGTGTCCATAACACGACTGAATCGTAAGCACACGGATGAAGACCCAGACAGGCAACCCAATTCACATTGGGGTGTCCTGTAACACTACCATTAAAGGTACCTAAAGAACTTAAGACAGAGTAAACAAGATGTGCAGCAGCAAAGGGTCTCAGATTTTCTTTCTCAACAATCAAGTGGTTTATGTTTCCTGCTTTGACCCTGATGATAACACCAGTTCTAACATTTACCTAGTCTAGTCAGTTAAGTCTCAACATAGCAGGTGGAGCAATTCTGAAAAGTACAAATCAGGGCACAACACTTCTCAATTCAAAACTCTCCAACAGTCCACATGCCATCTGGGAGAACCAAGTCTTCAGGGTGTCCCAGAGTCCCATTAGACTGGTTTCCTTAACGTCACCTGCTCCACTTCCTTTGATTCACTCCTGCCCTGTCTCCTGGGTTTCCTCATTCTGCCTGAAAGATTTTGACAATTCACCAACCTCAGGACCTTTGCAAAAAATCAATCAGACCACTAAGGGTTCCCCAGGAAACATACCTCCTCAGATCCTTCCAATTCTCCACGGGAGCAGGAAACATGGGTTCTGGAGACCTAAAGGAGGTCCTCTGAAAAAATGCAGGTGTCTGCTACTGGGAACTAAAGCACTGGAGGGGAGGCAGTGTACACAAGCACAGTACCAGATCCTAGAGGTATGGACTGTGTCCTCCTCCATGCACTCCATGTAGAAATATAATGCATAGAAGGCTGAATTTCACAACACAGCAGGTCCCAAAGTAACATAATTTTGTTCAGTGTTCATTCTTTTATAAATTGGTTTAAAAACCTATGGCAGATTCACTGCTTTGGGGAAAGTCAAGATTAGTCAAATAAGTGGAGTTGGGAAATTTTGTTATCACTTTAGGAAAAAATAATTAGCACCCATCTCTCATCATGCAAAAATACAATTTTCAGAGTAAAGAGCTAACTGTAAATGACAAACTAAGGCAATTATGGAGGAAAACAGCAATGCCTTTCTAAGAAGCCTAACAACCAAGATGCAATAAAGGACATAAAATTTAAAGTGTGGGTTTAATAAAAATGTTTATTTGTATCAGAAAAGTGGGGGAAAAAAAGTGTATTTACAACAAGGAAAATGTTCAGATAAAATGGACTAAGAAATACACATAACAAATTATTCCAAGAAATACTTTTCTTCAATCACTAAAAATGCCAGTCTTTTAATACCGGAAAACAATTAAAAAAGCAAACTGTGTAGCGATATTTGCCATACGATCCCCGTTAGACTGAAGAAATGCAACCCAAGTATGCAAGCACGCTAGGTTTGAATGTGCCCGCCAAGGCACTGCGGTTCCACCCCAAACTGCTATGAAACACCTGCAAAGTCACAAAGTCTATCTGAGAGTAGGCTCTTTTTACTAATATTTCTGTATATTTTCTTATCATAATGCATCCCTGGATTACTCACGTAACTTAAAGTAAAAGATATGTCTGAGACTGCGAAACTCCCTGCACCTAATTGCTTGTCCCGGACAAGGGCAATAATGAGTAACTCTCTAGTCAGAGAGCCCAGTGCGGGGCCTAGCACCAAAAGGGCGCGCTTGCCGTTTTCCACCTTTCTCAGTCCCGGAGGTGAGTCCTTAAGGTCCACTCACCCCCATAGGTGACCCAGGATTCCCCACTTGGCACTCAACTCACTTCGCAGGGGGAGGGAGGCGGTACCCGGTACTCGCACGCCCCGCCCACCAGGCTAGATGATGTTAATGTGTCGCGCGGCGCAAGATATGACGTAACTCCCCCCCTTCCGGAAGCAAGCCTCAGCGGCTGACCATGGCGACTGCCGCGGAGCAGTGGGTGCTGGTGGAGATGGTACAAGCACTGTACGAGGTGAGCTGGTGGTGTGAGCTGAAACTCCCTTTGCTGGGAAGGTGGGACGCCTTGCGTGGATTTGTGGGCTGAGGCTTGGGACGTGCTGGCTGACTTATGCCGACCCTTGGCTACCATCTCTGAGAGGACTGGCGGGGGCCCTTTAAACGGTCCCAGTGGCCGAGTGGAGGGAGGGAAAGGCGGGAGCCGGAAACTAGGGTCGCGGTTTGAGCTCTGTGGGGCCAAGCCCGCCCGAATACCGTCCCGGTGCAGGAAAGGAACTCGCGGGAGGGGGCGAAGGAGACTGACCCGCAGAAACCAGAGTTGGAGCTAATGGGAAATTTCTTTCTAGGGAGAGCCTAGGGAATCCGGTCCTTGGAATTGTGGAGAAGATAATAGGGGAAATAATTATACTAAGTTGGAATGTGTCTGTTCTTATCAGGTGTGGTAATGATCTAGGATTTAAGGACTATGACATTGTCACTTTTCAACGTACGTACGTACGTCCCATTTTCTAACTTGTAAAGGTTACAACTGTTAGGAGGTTTTTATAGGAAGAGTAGGTAAGAGTTTTGTTTTGTTTTTTTTAAAGCTGGCCATTTTCAAAAATGTATGTAAGATAATATGAAGCCAAATGTCAGCCTTAGAGACTATACATATACATTCATTTGGGATACCGGCTTAACATACAGCTTCCTTGTGCTGATAGAAGTTTCTGCGGTTTCTCTTTTCAGTACTGTAGCCACTAATCATATGTGACTATTAGGTGCTTGAAATGTGACTAGTATAGATTTTCATTTCATTTAGATATTTAAATAGTCACATGGTGACTAGTGGTCATGGTATTAGACAACACAAATTAGATATTAGAAATTAGATATTAGGATAGTGTAGTGAACAAACTGGCAAACTCCCAGCGTTTATAGAGTTTATTGTCAATTAAATTGTAATTTTATTTCAGTAGCTTTTAAAAAAGCTAATATTGTTTACTGGCCGAGGTAGTTACACTGCCTTCCATTATTAGAGGTATTAGATCTTCTTGAAAACCCGTGGAGGAAACAAATGTGGCCTGTACTGTTCAATATTAGGTTAATTGTAGTGACTAAGATAAGAACTACTAAAATTGAGATATTTTTTCTTTGAAATTAATATTCTTTAAATTGTATATATTTTGCTTCCTTTTTGATAAGTACACTTGATTATGTAACTGCTCATACCTTGAAAATAACTGTGAGATTTGAGAGTTCTCATAGATGTAGAATTTCCTAAGGTGTAAAAAGAGTGACATTTATGAATTTTGTTAATTAGCCAATATCTTAATTTTTCTCAGGGTGATTTTTTTTTTTGTGGTGTGCAATGAGATGTTTGCGTATTAGAATCCAATTATTGAGAAAAACAAAAGCAAAAAAATTCAGACGAGTTCTTATTTTTTAATGAATTTAAGAGGGATCAGCAAATTCTGTCATTTTATTTATTTTTAAATGATTTATTTATGCATGCATGCAAGAAAGAACTGAGGTGTAGGCCAGAGGTGGGGTGGTGGGGTGGTGAGAAGACAGATACAGAGTAGGGACCAGAACAAGCAGATATATTAAAATACACTGCTGAGAGGAGCAGCTGGCGAAACAGGAGAGGTCTTCTGGGTCATGTGAGTTATCTCCGTAGCTGGGGATTGAATTCACGTTGCAGTCACTGGTCATTGCTTGATAGCACTGAGACTTACCCCTGTACCTCCAGAGGATCCCCAAATTTTATGTTATTTTAATGAAGTTTTTTTATTTTGCTCCTAATTCATGTTTGTATACCTCCAAAGAAAGAAATGTGCATATGTAACTAGTGTGTGTGTGTGTTGTGTGTGTATAGTTTTAAAATTATTATTGCACTGACTTTAAAGTTTACATACAGATTTGTCAGCAGTTTTCTTTTCTCTCCACACCAAGTCCCTCATTGTGAACTTTTTAAAATAACTGTGGTGAATCAATCACCTTAATCTTTTTTTTT